TCTTCCTTTGGTGTGTCCTTGGACGCATGCGTCGTAGCTGGGAACACTTTCCTTTCTTTTCTCTCCTTTTTCTTGTCTCTCCCTACCCCGCCCTCTTGTCGGCACCTTAGCTTGGGATGCTACTAGGGGCTCCTGGCCTTCCTACTAGTTTCTTTGACGCTACTAGAGGTCCCTGGCCTTTCCACTACTTGGGGACGAAGAGTCTCACACCACCTATGGCGCGGAGCTTAACAATCTTGCCTCCCCTCGGGGAGGCGTGTGTGTAACCCTTGCAATCATAGGGATCCTTTCGGATTGTTTTAGCTTCACAGTTGTTTTCCTTGTGTAGCAGGGGGATTGGAGCCGATTCGCCTATCCAGTCCAACGAAGCTATGGCATTTCGGCGGATGAGTGGTCTGATCAACTACTTGTACCTGCGCAATTTTTAAACCTTTGGTAAAGGCTAATGCGCCCGGCAGACATGAACGAACGTCATGAGCCTGCTCAATCCGCGATCATCAATGGGTTTCTTCCGCTTTGGGCCTTCTTTCCTCTTCAAGTCCTCCAGGTTCCCGTGGTTCATACTTGTTCCCTTAGGAATTGGAACCCTAGGCCGGCGTGTGGCACCGCTTTCAGTTCAGTACACCCTATCCTAAGTGTGTGTGCGCGTCACCCTCTGTAACTAAGAGTTTTGCTACCTGTTCACCCCATTCAACGCAGGGGGGCAAGGCCTCCAGCGATGAAGCTTGTCCAACGAAGCTAAATCGCTGGAGGGGAAGGGAATGGAGAGGTCCATTCGTGTACCTGCAACGTTTGACTACGCTGTGACTCCAATCTTTCCTTGTTTGATTCCATGGTCCTTGCATGATAGATCCCTAAACCTTTTTCCCACCGCTGACTTGCAGCCGCGTAGTCACTGAGCGCTTCCGCAGTCAAGTGAGAAACTCTTTTGTTAAAACACCTACAAGTGCTTGGACCTTTCGCCTTGCCGTTCCCTCGCCCTTTTTCCACTTGGGAATAGATTAACTTAAAACCAATGTCAGAGTGTGAGCCGCTCAGTCGTCCCACTTGGGTGCTGGGTGTGATCCCCGTCACAGGGGCGCTGAATTCATGCCGGACTGCCACTAACTGAATCTATCGTTTCCTCCATTCGTTGGATTGTCTTAACCTTTGTTTCACTCCTGGAAATCCAATGCCGTCGGGCCCACGATTTCTCCACCAATACTTCCATTTGAGCGATGTTACGTTCTGCATTTTGTCACTTTCCTTTCGCTGCCAGAGTTCAGTTTCAAGACCATTTTCAAGACCATTTTTGAGACCAGTGAAGCTACTGTCTAACTTCCATGATTTTCACCCATGCAGTTTTCTCCATTTCGCAGCTTGACTTCCATTTCTTTCGACGTTCACCTTTTCCTGTCTCCGCTGCGGACCCGCTGCGCTGGCGCCATACCTGCAGCTGCAAGAGAAGATTTCCAACAGAGCACTTTATCGTGATGCAGTTCGTGGCCATACCCCTATATACCACCACCTCAGCAGGCTCACCAACCTCCAGTCTTTCCTATTCCACAGCAGATGCAGCCAACCATCCCACATTACCCTCCTGCCACCATGCCGCCGCAACCAGCATGGCGTTTCAGCCAACACTCCCTCCAACACTTCCTCCACCTTCACACCCAACACCCACCTTTCCTGTCGCCTACAGTCTCCCCACACAGGAACCCATGACCTTGCCTACTGCTCCACCGCAGTCGGCCACTCTCACCTGGGACCCTCAGCAAGGAGTTTGGCAACAACAACCATTTTCTGCTTTTCCACCTACCGCTCCGCTCCAAACCAGCCGTCCATTCCCACCCAAGCTCCACCAACCAAAACGCAGGCATCCACTTCCCAGCCACTGCCACCGCCGCCACTTCCACCGCCACCGAACCTGGCCCTGCTACTGACGCAGGAGCCAAGACCACCGACTCCAAGGCTAATACACATGACTCCGCAGCCAATCCAGCGGACCAGGGTACCACCAAACAGCAGACCACAGGCAATCAGCATGCCTCACGCCGCCGCCGCCGCCGCTCTGGTCGACACCAACATCGCCGCGGTCGTCAAAGACGGCGCCGTTCTCGCCGAAAGCGCTCGCCTACCTCATCCCGATGCAGAGAACGGACGCCAGATTCCACTTACTCCACATACAGCTCGCGCTCGCGCAGCCGCGCCCCACCATCCACCGATAGCGGTGGTGGGCTTTGGCAGCAAGAGAGTGAATGGCGATGTGGTTGTAGTGGTGTAAATCACTCACGCACCTCCCTACGTTTCACCACGCACCGGCTCCGCTACAGCAAAAAGATGCCACAGCTGCTGCCATGCGCCGCTTTCACCGTCGGTAGACGTCGCCCTTCACTGACTGACACTTTTTCACTCAGACGGCTTAGGTTTTGATTGCAGCCACCCTTTGAGCCATCAGTGAGAACGGATTCCATTCTGATTTTACCATGACTCCGTTATTTGTCTACGCATTTGCACTCTATCGGGCTCGCATTATTTCATTGCGCATTCCTTGCTATCCCCGTAATTCGATTGCGCGTTTTTCCGTGATACTTCCAGCCACGATGATGAACTCGCAATCTTACAACATGCTTCTCCAAGTCACGGCTGGCCTTTCTCAACTTAGTCAAGCAGCAGCGGACATACCAAAACCTCCACACTTTCCTCCTCCGCTACACACAGCAGGTCGACCCTCACTCCCAGCAACCTCCTCCACTCCCACCTGTCATCAGGTCACCGCTACACATCCCACCCTCTCCCACTTTCTCTTGCGACGCTCCACCACCCCGTCCAACACGACCACGACCAAGATCTCCCACACTGGAGTCCAAACAGACACCCAGTCCATCAGCGTCGCCGCGTCCCAAACGACGCCGCGCCCGCAGGCCAAAATCCCCCCTTCAACACCCTTCAACATGAAGGTACCAGTTGGGATGACTGGGATGCTGACGCCAAATGTCTCCTTGTGGACCTCAAGATAGACCCCAGGCTCGGACCAAACTGGCAATACGTTGTCCGCCGTGTTTGCTTTTCTGTTGAACAATGCAAGGCTCGCTGGGCTGAACTTAACGAATTGCAATGCCAAATCTCCAGCATCCTTCTACAGCCTTCAGCTCGCTCCTCAGCCGCAGAGTTAGCGGATACACCCCGACCTGTCACACCTACACCAACCGACAGCCACCTTGACCATCCAAGCCACCCCACTACAGATCCTCCTGCTGCTGCCGAACCGCCGCCAGCTGCCGCGCCCACCGCTGCTGCCAGTGAAGGAGCCACGCAGCCGGATATTCATTTCTTGTGAATCAGATGATTTGATTCCAACGTCATTCGACTTGCTCACCTTGATTCATTCGTTTCACAGCAGCCCCCTCACCGTGCTGAATGAAATATCAATGCACCGTGGTCCTTCAAGACAATCAGTCTGTGAGATTTTGCTGCAGTTCATAACAGTCTTCGGAACACGGCATTGAATATGTCCAGCACTACACGATGTACATGACCTCAACTGTATGCATTACTTTTTCAATCGGCGTCCAGCAACACTTGGCGTATGCCTGGAGCATTTTGGATACTGACGTTGATGCTGATGTTATTGCTTTAGATTGCGCAACCGTTTTTTCTACACATTCAAAGCTCCCTCGTTTTCCTTGGCAGTTTCCCTTCCTGACTCTTGTCACACATGGATGCAGCACGCAGCAACCAGCCTCTCCAACAAGACTGGCCAGCCACACACCTGCCCACATCCCTACACAATCAACCTCCCACACACTACCCTGGCACCCGCTTCCTTTTATGTCTCCCTCCACCACCCACCCAGAGCTCCTACTCCTTCAGTGGACGCTCCACACGCTTGAATGGTTCATCGAAGCCATCATCCAGCATCCAATCATCTTGGATCCCATACCCAGCAATGAGCATTTCACCGACCACAACTCGGTACTCTTTGTCCAATTTCGCAACTCATTGCACCGCCTTGCCCCCATTATGCTCGATTTGAACCAGGGACGCCGTCTTCTCCAATTCCTGCCAGGATCGCCAGGCTCCCACGGTCATTACCGAATGGACCCCACGGTCCGTTTCCCGGCCCAGACAAGCAACTTCCTCACCACACGTCCGCTCAATTCCAGCAATCCTTTGTCTCCCCCTCCACAACAGCGCAATGCTATCAACCACCTCTTCCCCAGCGCACGCGCCCGGTCTCGCTCCCGTGACCGCACACACTCTCAGCGCAGCTGGGATGCACCACTTTTCCACCGTCACACTCACGACTCCAACTCCTCCCAGTCCAACCCATCTCCCACACGCTCAGAGACCTGAGCATACATCCAGGAATCCAAGACAGCCTACGCAGCTGGCTACCGGGGCAACCTTCACCTCAATCTGTGGATCGCTTCCACGGACGTTCTTTGAGAGCAGATTGATAATGCCACCCATTCCACCACTGGCTGCTGGGGTTTTTGAAAAAAGCTGCCTCACCTTTCCGTTGTGCATATGGCGGTTGACAGGTTCAGGCTTTCAGCGCTCTACACCGGTATTGTAATCACTAGAGTGGACTGCCAAAACTGATACAGTTCTTGTGGCAGAGTAGTGGTTCACCGTTTCCGCCGCTTTCTGACTCAAGAAACCCTCAAAAAGCAACTGTTCGATTCTGGCACGACGCAAACTGCAGTGTGGGCAGAAAAGATAGGCTTGTGACGCTTACAAACCTGGCCAAGGCGGTTTGACTGCGTCGCCCAGGAAGTGGTGATCGAAGGGGTTGAGTCCCGGCTCAACATGGTGATCGCAGGCCGGCTTCAGAGGACGTGGGGCAAGGTTTCTTCAGGTGCCAAAAAACAAATCCTAAGAGCGATGGCCTCCAAGCAAAGAGCGATGGCCTCCATCCAACCCAAAAGCAAATCTTAGATCTGCAGACGTGGGGGAGTTCATGAATCTTCGTCAGTTGAAAGGGCAGTTTTCCTACTCCCAAATGTTCCCATGCCAGAGAGGCACAGAGAGTTGGACCATGACCCAGGTGACCAAGTGGATGACGAGATGGGTAACACTCCAGATGATTTGGCACCAGCTGAGATTGATGCCAAAATCGAGCAAGTAGGCAGTGAGATGCAGAAGCTGTGCCAAGAAATCCACCAAGTCCACAAAGCCGAAGAGGCTCGTGAGATCCATCAGCTCGTAGAGGCTAACGTTGCTGACGGTGACCGCTGGGTGGCGATTTTGAACAGCGCCCGCCAAGGCCGACGATTTGGGAAAGTTTTCCAAGACAGAACCCACCTAATAGCGATGGCCTCCAACCTACTAGCGATGGCCTCCAACCCAATAGCGATGGCCTTCAATCAGCTTGATTGCAGTTGTAAAGCTTTGGATGGCTGTCAGTTTCTCAGTCAGACGTCCTCATTGGCAAGCCGCGGCTTGGGTGGTGTCCTGTTTGGCTATTTTCCATGCTTCCTTTGTTTTTGGGTCAACCTTGGAGGCAATCAACCACCTGCGACGGATGATGCATGGATGCAAGTGGTGAGCAAGTGGTCACAAAACCACGAATCAAGAATGGCTCGTGTGTACCTTGCTCTTGACCAACAGAGAGTAAACACGGGTGCCAGAGATTTTTCATGGCTCAATGATGGGGTTCACATGTCAACTTTTAGTCTTAGTGAGTTGTCTTCTCGTCTCACGGTTGGCCATCCACCCAGGCAAAGCCAAGTGACACAGGCGAATGACATGGCCAAGTCTGCTGCAGCTCGTGTTGAGGAGGCGCAGCTGGCCTACAAGAGGAAGCAAGAAGCGAAGAATGAGGTTGCTGCCAAGTTGAGGAATCACGAAGAAGCGATTCGTGCTCAAAAAGGGACCACCGGCGAGACAGTTGCTCGCAGTCGAGAGGCAGCAAAGTTGGCCAAAGCAATGGTGGCAAACGGCAACATCGACATTGAGCAGCTGAAGAGCTTGGTGGTTGGGGGCAACGCTGTTTGGGTCTTCATGGAGGACAGCAATCGAGTGAGTGAGTATCCAGAAGAGCGGCGCAAGTTGGGCATCAAGGATGGAATTCTGTATGCTCAGCACGTGTGGGTGGAGGCAGAAGCTCGACACTTGCTGCTGCAAAACCGAGCACCCCAACAGTTTGGCAGCTTCCGGGCAGATGTCGGCGCCAAACTCTTCCATGCGCACACGGGGAGTCTCTACGATTTCTTTGTGGCAGAGCAATACCAGAAGAATTGCCAGACCAACTACCAGCGCGGCATGGTGCGTGTCGAACTCGGTCAAGGAGACACAGGCCGCCTGGAATGTGAACTTCAACAGCAACTCGATGAGGCTGCCGGTCAGTTGGCAGAAGCAGCCAAGCGGCTCGACCAATGGGACCACTCGAGTATCCCTCCTTTTTGGTCGAGCGTTTTGGGGGAAATCACACATTGAGCGGGATAAAGAGGATCTAGCCATCGGCCATTTCGCATTGGTAAAGTCTCTGTCGGTTTCGGGCAACAAGATTCTGACTGTGGAATGAGGGTATCTACAGAACATACTTTCAATGGATCCAAGGTGTGCAGTGACCATTGATGTAAGTAGATGTCGTGCGTGTCGACAGTGGTGCCATGGTGCAGTGCCTTGTTCTAAGAGTTTAATAGCCAAACTGCCAGACGTTTTCTTTGCTCTCAGGAACCTGGCTGAGGAGGTGCAGAAAAAGGCACGTCTAGCCTTGTCCGTGGAGGTGTTGAAGGCCACGGCAGTTGGACTGGGGAACGGTCTCCAGAAGGTCGTGGAGGATTTGGCCATTGACTACCCAAAGGGTGGGAGGATTGGAGAGGCTGCTGTGCCAGTCTTTTGGGAGCCTCCCCTTTTTAAATTCAATCAATACGTGTGCTTTTTTGAGTTCTTTTTGTTTTCTTTAAAAGTAGTGAAGAACGGCTCATAGCCTCGACAATACATCTTGTTAGCTCTGTTTGTCTTCGAAAGCAAGCAAGGCCGCAAGACCAGTGACCCGAAGCAGGATGGATATCAGTCTTTGTGGAAACATTTGGATCATTGTTGGGTCCTACAGTCCTTTTCGAGTGGGGGATTCACCATACGAGAGCAATTCTTGTTACAGAGGGAAGTTATTGCAATATCACACACACATACACTTGTGATAGATGGTGAAGACATTGAGCCTCTATTTTGCACTTCACACTTCAGGACCGCTCTATGTGGAGATTCCCTTGAACTCAAGCAGCGAAGAATTCAAACGGATTGCAGCCTTCTTTGCCCGCACGGCTAGTCAACAGATTCTCTCCATCAAGAGGATTCAGAACAAACCATTGCTCTTTCTCTACCAACGCCGTCGGGCTGCCATCGCAGCGAAGCCCCAAAACGGAAATAGCGCCAATGAGGAGCTCTTCTTTCATGGTGCGAAGCAACCGGGAATCACCGGCAAGATCTGCATGAGTGGTTTCGATGAACGGTTTGGCAACGGGCTTCTTTGGTTCTCCACGAATGCAAACTACTCCATCGGCTACTGCCAAGACAAGCGCATGATTCTCGCGCGACTCGCACTGGGATATATCTCCCAAGATTCCAACCACTGTGGGAACCAGTCTGTGGGCCATCGCAGGATGGATGACCAAGTTGGTGGCGGGAGTGACAATCGCTACACCCTTCCAGATGCTTGCCAGACATATCCAGCATACCTCATCCAGTTTTCATAGTGGTTAGGTGCAACTTCAAGACCACGTCTTGAATCGACTGCGCTGATGCAGTGACTTGACAGGTTCTGAATGAAGCAGTTGATTGAGACCTACATAGTATGTGGGTTCAGCTGCACGTCGGCCGCACTGACGTGCAGCAGAGCCAAACAGACGTGCTCATTGAAAAATCGGAAGGGCTGCCACAAGCCTAGTCAGAAGACTCTTCTTTGCAAGGATGTACTTGTGAGGATACTTGTACTCGTAGAGGCTTGAGAAGTTGTAGCTTATCAAAGTTACAGAGATCATACCATGGTGTCACTTCATGTTGCCCCATTTGCTGCAACAGTTGGCCGCATGAGTTGCCTCGCGACTTTTAGTGGTAGTCAAGTGGTTGGACGACCACTGCCTCGCCAGGGAGACGTCGCTCTTCAGAGTCCTGATAGTTCCTGTAAGGTCCCTGTGACCATCTCTTAAAGTGTCATTGAAAGCAGGCCGCGGCCAGAGCCAAATGCTGGTGGCCAGCTTTGTGAACCCAGTGCTCTTCACGCTTCCCTTTGGCTTTAAGGCGGGGATGGGACCGGATGGGACCTTTTGGTGAGGAAATGGGCTTGGGAATTTGTTAATTGATGCATCGTCTCCTTGCATTAGTAACAGGGTTCGCTACTAGGGGCTCCTGGCATCGCTACTAGGAGCAAGGGCCTTACTACTAGTAACAAGAAGCTAGTAGAAACAATATATAAATAGAATTCAATTAGAATCTAATAAAATTACTAGCAAAGGAATCTACGCTACTAGGAGCAAGGACGCTTTACTAGGGGCTCCTGACTCAAGTTCTCCTATGAGAAGCCTTCGAGTCGGAGCCGTTGAACAGGACGGTTCGGACCATGAGGTCTATACCTATGGCGTCTTCATTGCCGCGGCATTGTTCTCCTGCGTGGCCGGTGGCACCCAGATGTTCGAACAAGAGATGTGGCCGGTAGGCGGCCGGGTGCTCTTGGACTTGGCTATTCAATGTTACAAGCAGGAATGCTTCCTTCTTTTGGAGCTTTCTTTATTTCCTTTTTGGACCAGTCTTTCTTCCTTTGGTTCATATAGCCAGGTCATTGTCAAGAAACAAATGCTAATCACAACTAAATGCACACATCCAAGCTCTTTGTTAAGCATTGGGCTCTTCTGCCCGGCTTCCCCTGATTTTCCATCAAACGGTTTGATATGTGTTTCTTTCAAAAGAGGTAGAATGGTTCTTGTCAGACTCCAAGGTAGCTTCAGGGTTCTGGCCTAAACCCTGAAGACGGCCCCATCTTGGACGATTTGCTCCTCCACGGGACGTTCCACCGGGCTAAAAACCAAGCGCCGAGGTCGTGGTCGAAAGCGAGCTCAAGCGACTGAAGGTCTCAGCCGACGGGGCGACTCGGAGCCGATCGGATGGGAGCTGACAGATGGTCCCGTCAGCGGGTCCCGGAGGCTCCCTGTTCATTCCAGTGAACGAACGGAATGTACGAGCCCTTTTTGGGGTCACTGCTAGGTCAGGGGGGCACAACTGATTCAACCCTAAGGTATTTTCTGTGTTGCACCGCATTTGAGCCTTCCACGTGTGGAGACTTTTTCCAACCTTAGGTGGGTGCAGGATCTTGTCCCACAGTTTGCTGATGAGTTTCCTCGTGTTGCTTTGTTCCTGCAATGAATCATGGGGTATCAACTGCTAGAGGGGATGCCAAAGCTCACTGAAAAAAGACAGAGCGTTTGGTCCAACTGATCTCCCCAGCATGTGCGTATGGCACGTCATCGCTAGCGAAGTACTACTACGTCCGGCCCTGCACGCGACTCCCGAAAAGAGATGGTGAATCTTGAGGACCTCTCGGTCGTCGAAAAAGCCGACGGATCTTGGAAAACCACAACTGTTCAGGACTTGGTGGTTCAGTGCCTAGAGCTTGTGCTGCACAAAATGGTATGTTGAGCTCTATCTAGGTCCAGGTCTATGTTCCTCTTGTGTTGTGCTTGTCGCTTACAGGGAGAGCCCAAGATCTTTGTTCAGATCATTGCGTGATGTCCATTCGGCCAGCATACCACGCTTTTTTCCCACCGGTCCAGAGCTGTAGAGCTGGCCCTGCAGACGTCCTGGTCCTCGGGTGGCCAAAGTTCGTTGCGGCCCGAATTCATCGGTTCACCGCCACAAGATACGTAAACCCCGAAAGTCAGCGGAGCCAACTACATGTCCTCTAAACGGAACCATCCTCTTTGATTTAAACCATCAGAACACTGTATCTCAGTCGCAGCTGCCTGTTCACAACTCCTACGTACCCCCACCAAAACATTCTTTCCGGAGGAGGTGATGGTTGAGGAGCTGAAAGGGTTGATTGATCTTCAGCAAGATGTTCTGACTTAGGCCATGATGATGTTAGCCTTCATCCCTGGCTTCGGCATTGGCTCCAAGGCGAGGGATTCTCAAGTGTTCGTTTGACTGCAGCCACTCTCAGGGGTTGTTTGTTGGGTTCCATTACAAAAAAAAAACATCTGTTTCGCAAGCGAATAACCTATCTATCAGCGGATTCTTGCTGCGAGCATCGCTTCAAAGAAAGCACATGGGTCTTGTTTTTCCTGCCGTCAGTGCCGTGGTGTAGGGCTTTGAAGCATCCACCTTGGCTGTTGAGACGCGGCAAGTTCCTTTTGGATTCCGGACTCTTCGGGTCTTGGAACGGTGGCAGATGTTAAGCATAATAGCTTCTTGTTCCACATATCTTCTTGTTGCTAGTAGTAAGGCACCTGTTACTACTAGCGTGGCACTTGTTACTACTAGCTT